AAAAACCTATTATCTAAAATTAAAATACATAAACATAACATGTAAAGTGTATTCAAATGAAAATTTAAAAATAAAAGCAAACATATAAAGCATTTTCAAGCATGTAAAACCCACAATCTCTTTTTTTCCTTAATTGCACTGCTTCAAGTAGTTAATGTGATGTAAAACATATTGCATTCTTGATTCTCTGAGTCGCATTTGTACCATTCCCCTCGAGGCAAGCCCGATCAAAGTCTATGTTAGGGTCTGAAATTCTTATTTCTCACATAAAAAATAATAATTTTTTATCAAAAAAATAAAAAATAATGATTTTATAACTTTCATTGCCTTTTAAGAAGATATTTTATTGCAATGAATGAATGAACAACATTAGYAAATAAGGGGTTCTCACATAAAAGGCAATGAAAGTTATAAAATCATTATTTTTTATGTGAGACATAAGAATTTCAGACCCTAACATAGACTTGTTTGGGTTTGCCTCGAGGAGAGTGGTCGGGGGTCCAGGGGCGGAGCCCCCTGCCCAGCCGTTAGACTGAAAAAAAAAGCAAAAAGCACAAAATTTTAAAAAGGTGCACGCCTGGGCTGAGGCGCAAGGCGCACCAGACGCATGCCTAGGCGCACTAGGCACGCACCTTTTGAAAGGGGTGCACCTAGGACCTGGGCGAGGTGCATACCCCAAAATGCGCCTCGCCTGTGCGCCTAGGYGTGCCTTTTAWATCACTGGTTATAAYTGGACCCATACTGGTTTGCAAGAAACACCATATAACTGCCATATCATATTTACATCAGCAAACCATGTTTCCTGGTTGAGAAAGCTATAAAAGTTATGTTCAAAAAAAGTCATTTTGCTGGTTCTGGAACCATAGAACCAGCAGTAGTATACAAATAACATACAGAACACTGGTTGTGTTCATGAACCAAATAAAACACAATTACAACCACAAACCAAACAGCCCCTTGGTGATTAAGGCAAAGTAGTGTGGAGAATTACATCTCTGTTCATATTCTGGTGCATCTGGGCAGAAAGAAATGTGCATCTACACAACCATTTGAAAGGAGATAAAAACTCTTATCTCCCCCATTTTTGTATCCTTACAACTTTGCCCAAAACATTTGATCCCTTCCCACTCCTTGTTTTGCTAAATTGTCAGTGTAACTGTTTGGAGCCCTTTGTAATTCACTGAAACCTCACCTCCATACTTCTTGTTAGCCACCTAAATCTTTTGAATTCATTCTTATAGGACCATAACTCATCTTCCTGTTTCTGCAACCATCCTATCACTAGTTTTGAATCCCCTTTGAATGATCAACTTGTTGAGGCTCATACTCTTTGCCCTTTGCATAACTTCCATTATTACCATAACATCAGTCCTTAGTGAGTTTCCTATACCAATTGGACCCAAATGTAGAAGAAAAAATATGGCCTTCATTCCTGAGGGACCCAGGTTTTCCATATTACTACAATCAAAATTGAGTTTTTAAATAATCTTTCAGGTGTTAACCACACTCCGCTGATCAAGTTCTTTGGGGAAGTCCATGCTACTTCCCTCCACTTTCTAATGATATCATTAAAGATGAAGGATGAAAAACTCTCCAAAGATTTTGATCAGGACACCTTGTTTCCATAAATAATAGTATATACAAATTATATTTTTGTACATTCCCATTTTACAGTTCCTTGGTGTACATGGAGACCAATAGTATATGCAAATTATATAGTCTGCATGCTTCAGTCACATGGGTATTGACATTTGCAAAATTCTAGTGGATCCCTTTCCAAAGGGAAACTGTGTAGGTAGGATATGCATTTGATATTAAATCCAATGGGTTAATGGGGATTCATTTGGGTTAAAATTCTGAATCAGTTACAAATACAAAAAAAAAGATGTGCTTTTTTCCTAGTTAAAGAGATGAGGTTTCTGGAAAGGAGATGATCTTTTTTTTCCTGATCGGTACTGCTAAGTATTTTATTGGATGTAATAGTGAATGATACACAAAAGAGCATGTACCCTACACCTCTTAGAGAATTAGATCAGCCTCTGTTGCCTATCCCATCGACCTTGTCCTTTTACATTCTTTCCTTTCGACCTAACAGTCCAAACTCCCTGGATGTTCCAAAAATATAATTGTTCCCTTTGTGTTCTGTATTTGGCTAGTTCATCAACTAGTCTGTTCACTGATCTTTGAACCCAACAGAAAGTTGTTTCGAACCATCAAACCAACTTTCTACTTCTCTGATTGTATGCCTATATTATCATGGCCATATATTTCAGTCAGACTTTTTCTACATTGCCCATGTTTCTTTTATTACCCATCACAAAACAAAAGAAAAACAAAACTAAGGAACCAAAACCTAGGACTGGTATCAAATACCAGCTTCATCATCACTAACTGTTAACAACTGACCACTAAAATTTCCTATCATCATCATCATAATCTTCTAAGACTTGTCCCATCTATATAGGGTCAACTACATGAATCCTGCTTTGCTGTTCTGTTCTGTTCTGCTCAGTGCCAGAAGTTTCCTACCCAAATAAAAAAATAAAAAAATAAAAAAATAAAAATCCAATGCAAGATCAAGTGATTATTCAATTGAACTTTAATGGAAATGTTCAATTGGATTAGTTATAAGCAATGATTTCACACTGTGCCATTTGTAGATCTTTGCTGGAGCTTTATTGAGATATTTATTGATTGTATAAATGAATATGGTAAAAGAAAATTGTCACAATCATTTAATTCATTATGATAAAACCGTATAAATGCAAGAAGACAGGATCACTTGAATACAAATGCTGCTGGGAAGAAAATTAAAAGATAAACACTAATTATACTGTCAATCAATCAATCTTAAAAGACTAAAAAGTAAGCACACACCGTATGAAAGCAGTATAGTTAGCGTAAACACTTCTACGCATCTCTTCTGCAGATGCCTTTTTCAAATCTACAAGATACGCACAYAACTGCCTTATTTCCTGAAAATAAATGCAAATAACAATATTATTATATTGAGCCAAAAAAAGTTAAAATGTGATTCTCATGGATTATGGATTTGCTGCACTTTTATTGCAAAAATAAATTTATATCAAAAGCAAAAAATTAGTATACAAAACATATACAGGCATTTCGTCCCAAGCAAAAGGCGAAATACAATATGCAAAAATAACAGTGGCAAAAAGGAGACAAAACCTTTCCTAAAAATAATTTGAATGGAAAGTGTAAAAATAATTTCGTGGAATATCCGGGGCTTGGGCTCGGGTAGAAGAAGAGTAGTAGCAGGCGGTTTTTTGAGAGATAAGAAGGCCAACATACTAATATTACAGGAGACTAAGCTTCAGAAGATGAAGCATGGAGTGATCTGCAGCGTGTGGAGGTCTGAACCTTGCGACTGGCTGGCTGTGCCAGCTGAAAATACAGCAGGGGGAATTGTTTTAATCTGGAATAGCCGAGTCTTCAAGTTGGTGAACAAGGAGGTGAGCCTGTTCTCTATCTCAGCAAAACTTATGTTGTTGCAGTYCAATGTTCCTTTTGTGGTGTCAGGGGTGTATTGGGCCGACTGTCTCTTCGTTGAAAGAAGCTTTTTGGGAGGAGATGAATRAAGGAGGAAATGGGATGGTGATTTTAATGCAATTCTAAGGCAGGAGAAAAAGAAGAGGTGCAGGGGTACAAACAGGGGAATGTGGTTGTTTGCAGACTTCATTCAGAGGTGGGAACCGCTTGACCTACCACTGAGTGGAGCCCTGTACACCTGGACCAACAACCAAGAGACTCCCTCTCTGGTTAGCTAGATAGGTTCATTATCTCTACAAATTGGGAAAACCTCTTTCCCAATACTTCTCAGGAAGCCTTTCTGACTACATCCCTCTGCAGCTGATAACTGGTAGCACTAGGAAGAAGGCTCAACCCTTCCAGCTGGAACACTGCTGGTTGGACTTGGAGGACTTTGAAGCAAATGTAAAAACCTGGTGAGCAGAGGCTTCGTTTGAAGGTTCAGCGAGTCATATCTTAAGCAAGAAGCTTCAGTGGGTGAAAGGCAACATTAAGAAATGGCAGAGGGATAGGATGTCAAAAGATGAAAAAGGAAAGCTGAATGTTTGAAAATCATATCAGAGATCGATTCAGAGAGGAAGACGGAGCTGTAGGGGAGGCAAAGAGAGTGGAGAGACTCAAGGCTAAGAAGGATTATGATTCCTTAACTTTTCAGGAGGAAGTGAAGTGGAGACAGAGATTCAAGGCTCTTTGGTTGAAATCGGGGGACAATAACACTGCTTTTTTTCAAAAGTATGCAAATGCAAGAAGAAGGAAGATCATCAAGAGGCTACAAGTAGGGGATGTTGTAGTGGACCAGGAAAAGGAGATTGAAGAAGCTATTGTCAGTTTCTACGAGCAGCTTTACAGTGAACCGTGCAGAGTTAGACTAACTTTGGATGATCTCTACTTTGAGATGTTGTCTGATCTTCAGGTGGCTGAGCTGGAAAAACCCTTAACTGAGGAGGAGGTGAAGAGAGCTTTAGATGAAATGGAGGGGCACAAAGCACCAGGCCCTAATGGCTTCACTACCCTCTTTTTTAAAAAATTCTGGGATATTCTAAGACCTGATCTGATGCGGTTTCTGGAGGTGTTTCATCATTCTGCAGCCTTCGAGAGAAGTTTGAATGCTACCTTCTTATCCCTAATTCTGAAGAAGAGTGGTGCAGTGGAGATGAAGGACTTTCGTCCAATCCGCCTAATTAGAAGTGTATACAAAATTCTGGCTGAAATTTTAGTCTCCCGGTTAAGGAGTGTCATGGACTATCACATTTCCATTTATCAAAGGGTTTTTGTGCATAACAAACACATTCAGGATGAGGTGTTAATTGATAATGAATTAATTGACTCTAGAAGGAGAAGCAGCGGGAAAGGCTTGGTGTGCAAAATAGACTTAGAAAAGGCCTACAACAATGTTAATTGGGCTTTTCTGGATTACATGATGGCTAAAATACATTTTGGTAGCAAATGGAGAAATTGGATGAAGGTGTCTGTSACAACCCCCAGGTTTTCTGTACTAATAAATGGTGCTGCTAATGGGAACTTCAAGAGCTACAGAGGGTTAAGGCAAGGTGGCCCTTTGTCTCCATTGCTCTTTCTTGTTGTAATGGAAGGCTTAAGCAGGCTGACTGCAAGGGCTGCTGAGGCTGGGTGTGTTGAAAACTTCAAGGGCAGCAACAATGGTACAGAAATCCCTATTCTGCAGTCTGTCGACGATACTCTTTTCTTTTGTAATACTTCTTCAGATCAGGTAACCAATCTAAAGCTCTTGTCGTGTTGGTTTGAGGTGGTTTCTGGTTTAAAAGTAACTCTAGCTAAGAGTGAGTTAAAGGCAGTAGGGGAAGTTGAGAATGTAGATGATTTGGCAAGCCTTTTGGGCTGGAAAGTGGGCCAGGGCCACCTTCCCTCTAAGTACTTAGGACAGCCTCCCAAAGCCAAGTGCTTTTCAAAAGCCTTGTGGATTCCAGTCTTAGAGAAAGTTGATTTGAAGCTAGCCTCCTGGGAGGCTAGGTATCTGTCTAAGGGTGGAAAGGTAGCACTAATCAAAAGTGTACTAGCCAGTCTTTCAACTTATTACATGTCCATTCTACCCATTCCTGCTGAGGTAGCTGACCAGATAGAAAGGAGAATGAGAGACTTCCTGTGGATTGGATAGAAGGACTCATCCAAGTATCACTTGGTGAACTGGGATCAGGTCTGCAAACTGGTGTCGCTTGGAGGTTTGGGGCTAAGGAAGGTCAAGTTGTTCAACAAAGCTCTGTTGGGAAGGTGGCTTGGAGGTTTGCCTTGGAGCCAAATACTTTGTGGAGGAAAATCATAGATGAGAAATTTGGTGTGAGTAGAAATGGATGGGACACTGATCTGTCACTGTCTACCTATGGCTTCAGTTTGTGGAAAGGCATATCTAAAGTTTCAAGTAGTTTTAATGGGGGGCTGCTTTTCAAAGTAGGGGATGGAAGGAAAGTGAAGTTCTGGTTGGACTCTTGGTGTGGTTATTTCACTTTAAAAGACAGATTTCCCTCTTTGTACAGCATGGCAGAAAACAAGTTGGCCTGGGTGGCAGACTGCTATGAAGTGAATGGTGGTTCGATTTGCTGGAGGCCATCATTTAGAAGGGATTTCTCATTTCAATGATTCGAAGATCAATCAAATCTCCAATTATTAGCTCTGCTGCAGGTTCAGCCTCTGGAGGTGCAGAATCAAGATTCAAGACTTTGGAAATGGACCCCCACAGGGGCCTACTCAGTCAAGTCTTTTTACAAAGGCCTGATTGGTGCCTCAAGGAACCTTTTTCCCAGCAATGCCATTTGGGTTTTAGCGGCTCTTTCCAAGGTGAAATTTTTTGCTTGGGTGGCAGTGCTAGAGAAATGTTTAACCAAGGACATGCTTTTGAGGAAGGGGTACCCTACCCAGGATAGATTATGTGTGCCCTGTAGCAAGGAGGATGAATCAGAAAGTCATTTGATTATTCACTGCAGCTTCAGCTCATATGTGTGGTGCCACTTTTCAAGGGTTCTGAACTTGCACTGCCCCTCCTCTGTCAAGGACTTTCTGCTAGAAWGGGGTATCCAGAGTTTGTCAAGGAAAGGGAGAATATGCTGGTCAGCAGTCACTTTAGCTGTCTTGTGGGCCATCTGGTCAGAGAGGAACTTGAGGWTTTTTGAGAAAAAGCTTCACCAGATTCTGTGGTGATCAATAGGGCTATTGAGATGTTAAGTAGCTGGTTGTCTATACATCATGTACTTAGAAATGATACTTTGTCTTCATTTTTTTTATTTTTTGAATATAGACTTTTTTTTTGTGGTGGGGGGGAGGGGGGCATAAGCTTTTGTAAGTACATATTCTCATGTAGAGCCTCTTATTATCAATGAAATTATACTGTACCTGTTTCAACAAAAAAAAAATACCACCCATAAAAGCAACTCTAAAGAAAGAAAGAACAAGAATCAAAGTGATACAGTGATGACGCTAAAATCCAGCAAAAATAATGGCTCACCCAGGAACACCAACAACACGACCACTTCATTGTTCCTTAATCTCCAGGAACCAAAACCAAATGCCTTATAGCAATGAAGCTAAAATCCAGCAAATCGACCGACTGACCAACTCAGGAACACCAATAACAGAACTACTTACATCACCCCCAAGCTCCCAGAAGCCAGAACCCAACCCATAAGAAAATATCTGTGGTAAATGTAGAGAACGGCCATGCTTAAGATTTTAAGAGTGATCGTGCATTGTTTTACCTTGAACACACAATATTATGAATTAATCACTCACTAAGAAATGTCATAACAAACTTCAAAAGAACACAAATCATAGAAATTTGAGACATCTTCTCAAGTTCTAAAAATACTAGAAGTACCAACCACATATCCTTCAGTAAAGTTGGAGGTATTAGGAGTAAGTATTGGGAGGATGAAGACCATAGTGAAAATTTTTAAGTTGGAGGCGTTAGAAGTGAATAACAGAAATAAGAAGATGAGAGTTCGGATGAGCTCTTCTGGTTAATTAGTTGTATGGGCCATACATAAACAGCCAGGAGCAATTGCAGCCTATGAATCTTTCACCCAAGGGGTAAAATGAAAGGCAAGACCTTATATATTTGATTGTAAAGTTTAAGTGCTATTACATTCTCTGCGTTGCTTGCTTGAGGCAAGTTCACGCAAATAAACTTCTATAATTTGTTGTTACTAAATGGGGCTAGAGGCGAGATAAAAACTCTGCGTCCATATAACTAATGAGAAATAAAAATAACTCAAAAGAAAATAATACATCTCAGTCAAAATCCTCATCTAGAAGTCTAGATTGAACATAGTTTCAATTCGAATATTTATTTACGTATAAACAAAGAATGTGTAGCTTARAGGATGATTATGATAACAATTTAGTAGCAACTTTTCTTGATAAATCGTTGAGGAAACTCAGTCAAGCCATGGAACAAAACTTTTGAAACAATTCCAAATCTATAGGAGAAGATGATACACCCCTACAGATTTTCAGTTTAAGCTTGTAAACTTAAGAGCTGGATTACCGTTCCAAACCCAGGAAAAGGACAAGAACAAAAATCTAATCAAACTAACTAATCAAGCCTACAATTTTGTCATGCTTAGACCCCAGTTCTCATCAAATTCATACCAAAACTAAAAATTAAAGGGTTGATTCAACCAATTCCAGAAAGATTTAAAAAAAAAAAACAGTGAAATTAACATCACAAAGTAACAAGCGGAGGAGAAAAAAACAGACCTTCTCGTTCAGAGACTGACATTTCGACTGAACATAGCCGTCAGGATCAAAACTATCAATCATGAACACATTCAGCTTATCCTCAAGATGGACTCCATTCTCCAAAGCATTGCCGTTAGCCGCCGAACCCTTACCAACCTGACCCCTCGACCGAGACGACTTCACCGAGGCCATATCTCCCTTTAATTCTCAGCTCAAAGACAACTCGACCCGAGACGAACCAGCTAAGACTTGGGCTTCAACTTAACCAAAGGACATGATCCAAGAAGCAGATCTGAGGATACAAACTAGGGTTTCAGACCCATTCCATCGAAGAGGACCAACCCACCATTACAGGGGCAATAGATTAAGGATTCCAAAATTCTCTTCTATCAGAATCAAAGAAGAAAAATAGTTCAGGACCGATACGCAAGCAAGTTCACAGAGAGAGAAATAATTAAAAAACAAAAACTAAAAAAATAGATACTCGTGTTTGTCTTGAAATTGCTTTGACTGCTTATTTAACGAGAGAAAAATAAGAATAAAAGAAACGACTGATGTCTCCGCCAGCCAAACTCTTCAGTACCCACCACTACCCAGGGAATTTCGCTGTGGAGAATCTTTGAGTGAGAGATTAAGATGGTGTTTGGGACCCATGCCGATTTTTCATAAATCGATGCCACGTAGAGCATCTTTAAATCGCTGATTATTTTGCTGTTTGGTTGATTAATTTTTGAGGAATCGATAAAATGGGTCAGAAATCAATTATTAAAATCGAGCTGAAAATTAGTATTTCCTCTTTTCAGGCCGATTTTAAGTGATGTTTGGCATAGATGTTGATTTTTTCTACAATGGTAAATTTTTGTTGTTTGGTATCATTTCTGTCATATAAGTCATTTTTTGAGAAATGCCATGTCATCCTCAAAAAGATGGGATCAGTTAGAAATCAAGAAATCACCTAAAAAAGGTGATCCCTAAAAAGGGCTGAATGGATGATTTCCTGAAAATCACCAAAATCGACCAATCAATCAATGCCAAACATCATCCTTACTTTTTGAATGGCGTGGCATCTGACATGGATAAGGGAGACAGTTCCCCTAAAAGAAAAATCACCCACACTAATCACTACCAAATTAACTCAGGCTGATAAGGCAACAATGAAACCAAAAAAGTAATTATCATCAAAAAAACATACCAAACAAGCAATTTTTTTTTATTTCTAAGAAATGAATTATCTCGGAAAATCAATAATTTACGAGAAATCACAGTAGAGGAATCATTATAGATCCGAAACACCTAAATTAGATTGGATCGAACCAAGCCAAGTTTAACCGTCTTCCTTATCATTGGCACTCCATTTCTTTTGCTTTGCCACATGCGATATGAGCTGGCAAGCAGGACTTTTCCATGTTTCTATGCCATGTGGCAAACTGGCAATATTAGGCAAATAAAAGTCTTTGCCACGTGTTACGAAATCGGTTATCATTTAAATGTTCAAGGATGAGGAATTGATGTCTATGGGCATTAATGCTGGATGAGAAGACTGAATTGGCTGAACTAAATTACTTACCAATTAAGGTAGAAGATTTTTTATTGTTGAATGACTTATCAAAAAAAAAAATGTTGAATGATTAATCAATAAGCAATTCAGTTTATATAATGACTACTTTATATATTCATGAAAAGACTAATCAATAAGCAATTCAATTCCTATCAAAAATATTTCATTAAATGACTATTTTAAATATCCATGAAAGAGTATCTGTAAGTAATTCAGTTCAGCTTATTCAGCGGCATCAGAAAAGAGGCATATCCCAAATATCAGAATAATGAATTTCTACCAAAACTTCACAAGTCCAAGAAAACATATTATTATTACCAAAAAATCGTCTAGAAAACCGTTTTGACTCGCTGTTGCCAGCTCAGTATGACAACATTGGAAATAAATACAAAGCTTTTTTATTGACCAAACTGCCCTCGATGTTGTCCGTTTTCACAGTTGCAATGACGAATATGCCATTGTTTAAATCTGGCATGATTATAAATTTACCAAAGGAAGATCAAATCAAATAATAAGTGCATCTCACTCTGGCCTTAAAGATTTTGGATATTTTTTGGGATAAATATCTTAGGCTGTGTTTGGTTGCAGTGCAAATTTATTTGCACTAGTATAAATGCATAGGAGTGCAAATGTAAAAAATGTAAAGTCTTGTTTAATTTTATTTTATTCTGTTTTATGTCTTAATTTACTTTATTTGTATTACAATCAAATAAAATACACTAAAATTTATAACAAAAATTGGTCAGAATTTAAACTCAAATCACTTGCACTACCATGGTTTTGCATCAGTGCAAATTTATTTGCATTGCAACCAAACACAGTCTTAGGGTTTTGGATTTGACAGAGAAATTGGAATTATCAAATTGAGGAATGATGTGGACACATATACATTTTTGATAAATGAGTCCCCAATCATTAGTGAATATATATAATATAAATATAGACAAAAAATACTATCATATTTTGATATTTACACTTTTTTGAGTTCACATCTGTACCACACAGAGCAGGCCCCACATGCACATCTCAGTGTACATTGGGAATATTTTTCGTACTTGTTATTAGGAGATATTCCTAATACACGGTTGGGATGTGTTGTGGGCTTCTGTGGGGTGCATACGTGAATTCCTTTTTTTTTAGTATATGAGATGTGTGGTTTGTCACAAAAAAAAAAAAAAAAAAAAAAATCAGAGGTGCCCCATTCACTCATTTTAATTCAGCCACTCCCCCACCCCACCAAGACTGTCAATGGGTCAGTTCCACTTGTCAAAAAAATTAATAATTGAGTCAGTTCTGGTTCTTATTTGGTCTGACTGATTCAGGGTCAAATCGATTAAATTGTTAAAAAGTTATAAAGGTTTCCTATTTAATTTATAATTTTTATTATATTTTGTGTATAAAGGCATAATTTTGATAAATAACATATAAGATAATTTTAAGTAATTACTTTTTTAGAGATAAGATTAAAAAACACTTGATTTATTAATATATAAATAATTTATTATTTTACTATCATTTTTATTAAAATGATATTATAAAAACCATATTTTAATTGTTACTTATTTAAGTAATTGTAGTTGTGAATACAATCGGGTCTGACCTGATTATCCCGATTATGAATAGGGTCGATTCTAGGTGTATGATTTTATACTTGGGGGATCGATGGAACTGATACAGGCTGTCCGAAACCAAATCCGACCCCTTGACAACCCTAACCACCACCACCAAATTGAAATACCGAACTCCATTGTTTGAGTAATCATATATATTATCTGTTTATCAAAATGCCCACTCAAATTGGGTGCTCCAAATTGAAGAGCGACCCCATGAATGAGTTAATACAGCAAAAGCACAAACAAACCAAACTACTTTTTCCAGCATCTTCAGACTTCGAATGCAACTGAGTTTACAAATGACCAACTCTTTTACAAGTCRGGACTCGATCTACCCTAACCAAAACTACCAAACAATTATTCAAATATCTCTGTCTGTTCGGTTGGCAACCTTTCTTTATATGAAGAGTATTTTATTCAATGAGAGGCCACCGATACGGAGTGGGTGCATTTATTTTAGATTTTATAGCGTAACCAAGAATGCACGTATTTTATTTAATTAGTGTTGATGCCAGCTTACAATTTGTTACATCAAAGATGGAGGTGGTGGTGGGACCAACTCCATGAGGTTGAAGAGATCGGCTTCTATTTGGACAAATATGTGCTTACACCATTTTAACAGTCTTTTGCAACATTGCATTGGAAATATCTCCTTATGAAAGAAAGCATCCAAATACGAAATACTCTCAATGCAAGACAGTAAAAGYTGCCCAAATGGGCTTTGCCCTGATTGAAGCTGAACTCGAGGTTGAAGAGGTGGATGGAATTGTATATATGTGCTGGACCAACTACCAGGTTCCTTATACGGTTTGGCAATAAAATTGAATGGATATTTGCTATTTAAACAGTTTCTGACCATGGAATAGGTGACTTCAACCAAGACCACAAGGTGAGAGGGTCCATTACCAATTCAAGAGTGCAATTTGGGTTGGTTCAACCGGCGGTGTTTTAAAACCTAACTCAGAAATTGAACCATTTTCCATCTGGATCAATGAATCAGCAGTTCAACCGTGGTCTGCATCATGGGTCAACATGTTTATGTTATTAATGGTGTGTGATTTGGTAGATCTCTGTTGGAGGACAACTCAGACACTGGACTATGTAGGTCGCTTGGTTGAACTGCAAAGAAAGAGAGAAGAACAAAATACCCGAGTTATTTTTACCTGGTGTAGGCACTTTAATGCTTAAGTTAGCGAGTTGGAGTTTTTGAAAGCTAAAAAGTAAAAAAGAGAGAGAGAGAGAGAGAAAGAGAGCGCTTGAGCATGCTAAATCACATGTACCTCATGAGATTGGAGGTGAGATCCTTATATAGGCAAACTGCCTTGAGCCTTACGTGGTGCTGAAGTATCACCCAACTGTTCTATAATACCACGTGCCATGATGTCATTGAATGACGAAATTATCCTTCACAAGATGACAAAACAATAAATTTTCAATTCAACATATGCAGTTGTAACACTGTTGGGAAACTCAGTAGGATGTAAAGTGAAGGTTTGATTTGATGTAAATGTGTCTATGATGTTCATTCGTATTTTAGATCGGGTAACACTGAGTAAGAATCAATCAAACATGTAGGCCCTTGGCTAATTTTAATTTTTTTTCTCTTTCTAATGAACCATATAGAGGTAAGCAAATGGTTGAAAAGAAACTGAAGATAATATTACTAATATGTAGATGATCATAAAGTGGTTGATTTCAAATAGAGCTGCTATTTGCTAGCGGGTGTCTATATATATATATATATATATTGCAAAAATATGATACTATATATTCAATTATAAAAAATAAAATAAAATATCAAATATTTAAGAAATGGATTAAATTAAATAGAAAACCCATAAATCGTCCATTTGCTCCAAGTTTTTAAAACCGAATCAGATAACGAACTGGTCAGGGTTTGGTTCCCAGGTCAAATGGTTTGATCGTTCGAATCGAATAGATAGTCCATTTTGACAAAAAAATAAAAAAATAATAAAAATTTAAAAAAAAAATAAAAAACAGCCGAACCGTTGAACAGTTCAAATGGTTCGAATGGTTCGACCACCCAGGTCTACAATTTGCTGATCAAATCAATGATTTTTGGCGAAACAACGATTCTAGGGTAAAACAGAACCAATCACATAACCGGTTCCTGGTTTTTTCGGTCCTAACATCAACCCAACCCATAGAACAAATTTGAACCATTATTTTGCCTTAGAACAAATCACGTGACTGGTTCCTAGTTTTTTCGCTCCTAACATCAGCCCAACCCATAGAACAAATTTGAACCCAATCCTTTTGAATGGCAAAAGAAGGTAATTTTCATGTATTTTATTATTTAATTATGGATTTTTTTTCAAAAACTTCTCAAATATTTGGGAGAATTTTAATGCATGGTGGTAATAGAGGTCTAGATATTACTGTGGAA